AAGAGCTTTAGATCACGAAATAAACTATACTTGTAAACAATATAAATTCAAGGAGGAAAAGGTGGCTTCAAACGTCCTCTTATTAATAGTTCAATTGTTAACTATTAACAATGCCTAACCCCACTACATTAAAAGTAAAAAATATAATTTTGGTGTTAATTAAAAAAAAATAATAATTGTGAAGTTGTTAGAAACAAGATAAAAAAGCTGTATATAATATACCAATTTTTAATTGAAAAGGAATCAAATAAAAAAGAAAAGTGCAAAAGAGTTTACATGGAGTCTGGCAGTAGTGGCAGTCTGCAGACTGGCAGCTCAAGCACACGAGCGGAAAGATTTTGAAAAAGTATTCAATTGAGCAAAGGTTAATTCCTGTTAAAAAAATATTATTTGCTGCATATTGTCACCTAACCTAAGATGGAAAATGAAGGAATAAGTTAAAAAATATTGTTTTTATCAAACATTTTAATAGATAACCTAACTTTTTAATTTTTAACATGTGAATGTAAACAATAGATAAAAGTATACGATAGAGATTGTGTTGTAAAATGATATCGATTTAAAAAATAAACAACATTATTTGATGCTAAGATTATTGTACACTTCTAAGCAATAATTTGTTTTATTTACTATTTGTAATAGACAATTTTCTTATTGATGTCTTCTCTAGATATTGATATGCAGAGATTGTGAAAAAGAAGTACTCAATGATAGCAATATTTGGGATCATAGATGTTTCCGTCTTTTTAAAGACAATAACTACGTGTTGGTTTCCAATGAAGAAGACAAAATTTTTCCAGGTAAAAACTAAGTTATTTATGTTATAATAGTTGTACTTGTGTATGCCATGGAATTTATAAGCATACTGTTTGTTTCAGTTCTAAAATTAAGACTTGGAAAACTTCAAGCAACAGCATCAAACAGCCCATCAAGTACTAATGAACAGCAGAGTAAAGATAATTATTTTGATCAAGATGAATATGACGAGAAACTCATTAATGCTGTGTTCAAAAGACCAGCGTTATACGATACAAAAATGTACCAGTTAAAGATAGAAATTCGATGAAAAAAAATGCTCTGTGGATGGCTGTTGCGAAAGATTTAAAAGAGGAAAATTATGAAGTACTAAAAGTGAGGTGGGAGTATTTAAGAAATCGGTATTCAAAAACAAGAACAAAAGTGCGTGCCTACAAACCCAGTTGTTCGGCTGCCTCCAGCAAGAAAAATCCATTTGAATCATTTAAATTTTACGATATTATGCAATTTTTAAATGATAGTACAGATCCCGTGCCGTAAGTTTGTTTTGTTACTTAGTTTTTGTTAACTTCGTGAACCGTACAGTAATGTTGATTATAATTTAAGCACAACGACGTCCCTCCCAAGTACAATCACGCCTACTTTGCATACATCAAGTAAACCAACGATGAACTAGAACTGCCTAGATTTTACTCAAAAGATGCAAGAAAACGTATGCCCATTTAAACATCTAATTTTTAATAATTCTAACACTATCCAAACAATCATACATCTATTTCAGGTCAAAAGACAAGCCACAGCGACAGTTTTGATGAAAAAATTTTGTCAGTGTTACAAGAAAATAAACCTTTAGATGGAGTTGATGGTTGTTTAATCCAGGTTAGGGAGATCTTGAGAAAGATTCCAGAAGAGCACCGCTTTTAAGTGCAGATCGATCTCTTAAGTTTTTTTAATCGCAAAAACAAAGAGTTACAAAATGAAAGCTGCAGTCTTTCATTTTAGCTATAAGTATATTTAGTATATTCTACTTCAAGTTTTATACTTTTATCACGTGATCTACTTCATAAGATATTAACGCCAAAGGCTCAGCGTATAAAAGTTATTTTTTTTCTTAAAGTTTTGATCGGTTAAACAAAAAAACTAAGATAATGACTATTAGTTTGATAAAAAATAATGTTTATTATATTGTACTTCAAATTTCAAGCTTTTATAATGTTGTCAACGTCGTAAGCTATAAATGTCAGAGGCACAGTATATGAAAGTTATTTTTTTTTTAAAGATTTAATCAGTTAAAAAAAGACTGTCTAAGATAATGACTATTAGTTTAATAGAAAATAATGTTTAGCATATTGTACTTCAAGTTTTAAACTTTTATAACGTTTTCTACTTCATAAATGTCAAAGGTACAGTATATGAAAGTCATTTTTTTTTTTTTAAAGATTTAATTAGTTAAAAAAAGACTGACTAAGATAATGACTATCAGTTTGATGAAAAATGAATAAAAGGCTGTTATCATTTGCTAAGAATACATACACGTATGACAGATTTGAATAAAATAATTTTTTTTTAATCATTAAGTGTTTTGAAACTTATTTTATATTAACGTAGAGTAACTACATAATTAATTAAAGCATTTGTCAGTTCTTGTTAAAAGTCAGCATTATTGGCTTTTTTCCATTGAAATGGCACAGCTCCTTCATTCATGAAGTAGTCAGCAAAGCAGTCTCGCATGCGTACAGCAGCAACTTGTCTAGCCCTGTCACTCTTGAATAAATATAAATTTTCTTCCAAGTCTTCACACTGCTGTGTATTTGAAGTGGGTTCAGTTTTTTTGTTGCTACTTGAATCTTTCATAATAATGAAGTTGTGTAGACATACACAAGCTTTCACTGATTCTAATAATGTTGGCAGTGAAATTTTTACACGACTGTCAAATAATTGCCACACTTTAACAAATCTTCCAAAACCACATTCAACTATCCTTCGAGCTCTAGACTGCCGGTAGTTTAACACCTTTTTTTTCATGTCGAGCTTTGAGCTTCTTGGGTATGAAGTCAAAGTAAATTCACTTAGCCCAAAGGCTTCATCGCCCAAAAAAATGTACGGAAGCTTGCATCCCCCTGGAACCAATGGTTGTGGGGGCGGGATATTCAGCTGGTGATTCATGATCATTTGGCCCGTTTTACTGTTATTAAATACACCATTGCTTTGACGACCAGCTGCACCTATTTCGACAATGATAAATTTTTTATAAGCATCAATGTAGGCCAGCAGATGAATACTATGATGCTCTTTGTAATCATAGAAGTATGAGTTACTATGTGGAGGAGCCTGAAAAATGTAATTTTTAGTGCATAGTTTAGGGTATACTTTTCATAAAGATGACTGTTGGATCATAAGTACCTGCATTGTTATTAATTTATCATCTATGCTTCCACAACAGTGAGGAAAATCTGTAACAAAGCAAAATGGCCTCTATATTCCAAAATTCTCTCGCTGATGCAACGTGTATACAAAGAGCATTAATTTGACGCTTCTCCGAACTGTTTGTTTTTCGGGAGCTGTATACACGCTGACAGGAGGGGACGAGGACGCCAACGGACAAACAGCTGAGATGCAGAGACACAGCAGCGCCAGTAGAAAAGGACAAGGAAAGTGCGAACGCGACTACCGAGACACAGCAGCTGCTAAGTATGAGAGTGACTGCGAGAGGAGAGATACGTGGCGGCGGCAGTGGCGGCGGCCATTGCTTGAGCAAGAGATCTTGAGTGAGTCTGGAGTAGAGCCTCGAGCTGCACGCTTAAGCGCGAGCAGCGAGAGCTTCGGTGGTTTTGTGGGATTTCGTGGCGAGAGTTGAGAGAGAGAGTTTTCGAGAAGGTGCGTTGAGTGTTGAGAGAAGAGAGAGGAGTGTGCGTGCGAGACGAGAAGCAGCTGTGTTCTCCCCGGACGACGAGGTCTCCAGGTCGAGGACTACGGCCGCTGAGAGAAGAGTTGAAAGAGAGAGAAGAGAAAAGGTGAAGCCGCAGGACGAACGACCCGCTCGAGGACACCGGACGACATCACGCCAGGTTGTACTCGCGGACGTTTGACCAGGAGGTGAGGCTAGAGAGAGAGAGAAGTAGTGTGTAGCGTAGACAGTGCGAGAGAGAGAGAGAGAGAGAGAGAGAGATTGTAGTGTAGACAGTGCAAGAGAGAGTGAGAAAGAGTTTGGGTTGACGAGACGAGGTGTACGAGAGACCGCGAGGTGCATAGGAGGGCCGCCATTTTTCGTGCGTGTTGTCGTGTATTAGGGTAGATAATAGAGTAGAGAGAGAGAGAGTGTATAGCAGTGTGAGAGATTGGGGACGGAGTGTGAGTGTGTGCGTAGTAGTGTGGGTCGAGGACGAGCAGGAGCCCCTCCTGGTCCCGGACGAGCAGGACGTGGTGGACGAGCGCTCGTGGCTCGCGAGGTGCGAGGCGAAGTCGCTGCAGCGCCGTCCAGAAGACGAGGTGAAGCATTGTGTCGTGTATTGTGAAGAGAGGGAGACTGTGTATTAGTGTTAAGTGTGTTAAATAAAGAAAAGTGTGAAAGTTATTAATTTTTTGTGTGTAAATTAATAGTTCTTCCCGTAGAACGGGAGAACTCCCGCGCCTATCCCCCTTTTTCAGGAGCAGAAACCCAAGAGGTAAGAGGGACAACGGTGACGAACGGGATCGAGACTTGCTAACGCTGCGTCAGCGCCTCGTTTTATTTCAGGTCAAGAAGCAGTGTTACAAATCCCATTCATCTTCAAACCCTTTTGAAATATTTTTCCACACCTCTGCGTTAAAGGTCTTCTCAAAAACAATGGGCTTAAGACAATTCCAAAGTTGACTACAAGTTTCCTCAATAATTTTTGTAACACTGCTTGGGCTGATTCTGAACAGGTAAGCTAAAGACTTTATTTTATCTCCTGTTGCTAAGAATCTTAATGTAACTTGTAAACGTATTACTGCAGAAATCGGAGCCCAAAGTGCTACCTTTTTGGAAATCGCAGGGCCAACCAAGCACAAAAGCTCATCAAAAACACTGGGGGTTATCCTGAAGAAATTTTTAAACCCTTGTGTATCATGTAATCGAAGAGTATTGATCAAGTTATCGCTGGCTCCTTGAGCAATTCGATTAACTTCCTTAAATACTTCAGACACCCAAACTCTTTTGCACTTTTCTTTTTTATTTGATTCCTTTTTAATTAAAAATTAGTATATTATATACAGCTTTTTTATCTTGTTTCTAACAACTTTACAATTATTATTTTTCTTTAATTAACACCAAAATTATATTTTTTACTTTTGATGAAGTCAGGTTAGGCATTGTTAATAGTAAACAATAAAACTATTAATAAGAGGACGTTTAAAGCCACCTTTTCCTTCTTGAATTTATATTGTTTACTAGTATAGTTTATTTCGTGATCTAAAGCTCTTAAACGTTATGAGCAGATATAATGTTATGAGCGATGAATTTAAATTGTTGCGCCAAAGAGCTTAGTCTGCCAGTCTGCAGACTGCCAGACTCCATGTAATCTCACCCTTAGGGTGCCTGTACATGGGAAACCTGCAGTCTGGAGAATGCCAGTCAAAGCTTCGGCAGGCGATTCAATTTAAATTGATAGAGATCATTATTTTTTTTTTCTTGCATTTCGTACAACAGACACCTTGTTTTCAATGAAACTAGACTCTGAAGTCGCATTTTAATGTCAGAAATTGATTTTGGTAAAAAATTTCGAGTAAGTATAACAAATGACTAGTTTTTGCTGGCAGCCTGTTACTGCAATTTCCCTGTTTACCGACTAGTCGTTTGTTATACTGACTCGAAATTTTTTAAAACTTTTTACTAAAATCAGTTTCTAAAATCAAAATACGACTTCAGAGTTTAGTTTCATTGAAAACAAGGTGTCTGTTGTACGGAATGCAAGAAGAAAAAAAATATTGATCTCTATCAATTTGAATTGAATCGCCCGCCGAAGCTTTGACTGGCATTCTCCAGAATGCAGGTTTCCCATGTACAGGCACCCTAAAGCTGCGCTCACATGCATTTTAATTAACTTAAGATTGGAAGGACCCGGCAAAGTTTGAATTATGTTTAAATATTAATTTTTCAAAATAATCGTGTAATCTATGAAAAAAATTATTTTATTGTAATAGAATTATTGCATTTGCTACTATTTAAGAAAAAATAGGCAAGATAAAACTTTTTGTCGGCATTAAATGTTGTGACATCCGCAAGATTATGTGAGTGACCCAGTAGCTTACCGACCATCGTCTTCGATGTATTAAAGTTGTAAATTGTTATTTTACAAATTATATTAAGAACACAATATGTTGTAACAATGATTTCTTACTAAAATGTCGGTGAATAATTTTTGGTCTCAGTTTAACATATTATTTAGAGATTTTTAAAACTAAAGTAAATTTAAACTTTGCTGGGGTCTTCCAATCTTAAGTAAATAGGAGAGCGTATAACTCGTACCGCGTAACTATTTGAGCCAATTGAACTAACCTCATAAGAGTGAGAGAGAGGTGCGCGTATTTTACCTCTCTCTCACTCTTATGGGCTCAAATGGTTACGCAGTACGCGTTACGCTCTCCATGTGCCCGCGGCCTAAGCGTAGCCTAAGGGTGCTTGTACATGGAAGACCTGCTGTTTGGCAACTTCCCGTCAAAACTCACTGGTCTCATGAGAGTGAGAGAGAGAGGTTCATCACGTGACCACATTTAACCTCTCTCTCACTCTCATGAGACCAGACAGTTCTGACGGGAAGTTGCCAAACAGCAGATCTTCCGTGTACATGCACTCTAAGTACACATGAAGGCGGTTGGACGTCCCGCAAGTTCGGGAAAACGATGCGCGGTTATTTTGATTTAATATACAAAAAGCCCGCCTTGCATGTTGGTATTATTTTTTTTTTTTAATTATTTTAAACAGCTGAACACATTTATTTTTTCAGCTCCTCAACAACCTTTTTAATTATTTTCTTCCAGACTTCAATATTTTTTCCATGGTATTTGAAATAATTAAAAAAAAATTCATACCAACATGCAAGGCGGGCTTTTCGTATTTCAAATCAAAACAACCGCGCATCGTTTTCCCGAACTTGCAGGACGTCCATCCGCCTCCATGTAATCGCACCCTCATACCCTTTCTGTGGCGCCATAATCTGAGTGTGTGTAGATTTTTGTGGAAATCGATGCCAGATACATGGGAAAAACAATAAAAAAACAAAAAGTTTGCCTTTGCATGCATTGGAGATTATAGTGATAAAAAAACTTTTAATGGTATGTTTTTTAAAACAATCCAATTCTTTTTCCTTTTAATGTTCTCTATTACACATAAGTTATATTTATTGATAAGCTGAATATGGCTCGAATTAATCAAAATATTGTAGAAGAAACTTTTGAAACGAGTGGTTCAGAAAGACTGGAACTTTTGTTGAGATAAAGTACAGTTTTTTGTTAAGCGCGCATCAACTGTAACAAAAATGTGTAATGACTATTGCATTCAGTTCATTCCAAAAATTAATGATTGTACCTTTTGCACTCATTTTATTAAAAATCAAATTAAACAAATACTGATAAAATAAACTTATAAGTAAGCAGCTTTTTGTAGTTTAAAAAAGACAAAAAAAAATAGAGAGTACTCCACGAACACTTTATTAATTGATATTTTTCTTTTTATATTTCACGGTATTGTCAAATATTTCATTACAAACGTGTTTTATTTGTACTAATTAGTATACAGTTTTAAATATAAGCATCGAAAGCTATAATTTGAAAACGCACTTAGAATGTAGCGCGTTATATCACAATGATAAGATGGGCAGCATTGATATTTTAATATACACTTAATAAAATCTTTCTAAGATAACCGACAACCTGTAATTTTTTGTAATAAGTAGACACAGCATGTTTGAAACTTTTTAAGCAATTAATTTTATGTAAAAAAAAGATCTGGTATTTAGATGGTTGTGCAAGTTTCAACTAAAAATAAAGCATCTTTCCTGTGAGACTGGGAATAACCAAAAAAATTGGGCTATTGACAGCTTTTCATCAACTCTTCGGTTAGCAAGCATTACTTAAGAATTTTTATATGAATAATTTAATCATTATATTTACCATCTGCTAAAATTATTTGGGAAAAAATTGTAACTTGATTAAGCCCCATAGTGGATGACCTTATCATTTTGAGGGATACCAACAGAGAGTACTTTATTTTTTAAGAATCTACATGGTGTTAGGGTAATTTGTACACCTAAAAATATTAAGCTGTGTAAAAAAATTCATATCATGATGTTAAATGAGAAAAAAATTGTCCATACTCCCTTCATGCTCGGTTAGTCTTGTACGATGTTGAGACTATATAGGGTGCATGAGGGTGGATGGAGAGGAGGGCT